CTTATCCACGACTATCTCTTCAATACTGATCAAAGTTCTGGAGCAAGGGCAAAATCGAACTACTGAGAAAAAGATCTTGGCTGAAGGTTGCAATAGTCGACTCCATATGAAGTTTCGACACTTCGGCAAAAGATAAGTTTGCAGTTGGATACGGTCGGGTAGTTAAAATGCGAGCTGCATCTTACAAATGTTTCAAATATGTGCAAAGAGTTTTAATCTGCTTCCGGTCATCCATAATTATAGTCATAAATGAGCAAAGACTTCTTTTAGTTCACAAGCAGCTACAATCATATGGTATGTTGTATCCCATTTATAATTGTCATCAATCAATAGGTTCACCAAACCAGGTACCTCTAGTTGTTGCTTATGCTCAATAAAATTCTCTTCGTGAGATTCAAAATGTTTCACAAATTTAACATACTCCTGAACTTTGCTAATAATTTCATTCATTGCCTGCAGTGCATCAATTGCGAAGCGACTTGACGGTATCATTTGAGAAAGACTTATCGAGTGTAGGGGTTTGTAATCGACCTTCCAAATGCCAATCAGATAAACAGGTCATTATAGATTGGATTAATGAGTTCATCAGAATCAAGAGACGGCGCAGTAACAACATTGAGAATAATATTATGTAAGCTGGAATTGCTATCAATGAAGCGTTCTCTACTAATGACGTTCTCTGTTTGTCTGGTTTGATGACCACATGTCCAATGTCAGGTTGAGAACTGGGGTTGAAGAGGGATGTTCTTCTGTATTGCTGCTGTTGGTGTTTGCAGATGATGTAGAGATAATCGCAGTTGTCGTTCGCAGCTAGTGCTCTGCTGATGCCGTGCTACCGATGCTTGTGGCTGATGACATGTTGATGTTGCTGCTGATACTGCGACATCACTTGCTTGCAAATGCTGGCCTGCGGATATGTAGCTGATGTGCTGATACTGCTTGTGAATGATGTTGTTGCTTGCTTGTGAAAGTTGTCGCTTGCTTGTGAAAGTTGTCTGCTGTGTTAAGATACTTGTTGTGGTTGCTGCAGCTGTTGTCGCTCGCGAATATGCTTTTGGTTGCTTGCTCTGAACCAACTGACTTTTCCTTTTCTTCTTTCAGGGCCCATCTCTAAGTTCGGGAGCTGCCAATTTTTGCCGCTGCCGAGAGAGGTTTGATGGTGATGATGACTTGATGGTCTGAACCACGTTGGTGCCGTTGGATGCAGTTGTCTTGCGAATTATGTTGAGCTGTTTGAATGCGAACCGACTTTTCTTCTATCAGAGATACCATTAACTGTTGATTTCAGATACTGTCTTGTCTTACGCTGTTGCCGAAGAACTGTTTGGTGTTCAGTAGGAAGTTGGCGACAACCTCGGTTGTCGCCCTTCTGGCTGCTCAAACTTTATGCCCAATGATGAACCATACTGAGGGCTGATCATCTCTTAATCATTTTCGGTCCCTTTATGTAATGCTTGCTTTGTTTTGACAATTGTGTTGCATATAAATTTTGGTGGCAGCCGTGGGTGCAATATTACAGTCGGTCAAGGCGAAGATGCTAATTAATACCTTTGTTTACTGTAACAGGTGGCTTTCAGGTGGCTCCTCTGCATAATATGATGGTTCTATCACAAGCTAATGGATACCGTGGCAGCATAAAGTCTGCTCCTTGTTTTTAATCAACAATTATATCACTTAAAGTGTTGTGACAATGTCAAGTAGTGAAACCAAATAGTGGTAGTGCTCTAGTGTATATGGATCTTTCGTTTTGTAACAAACTAGTCTTTGTCACTTGGAATAAATGTGTATTCTTTGAAAGCAACTTGGAATAAATGTGACTCCTTTCTTTTGATCTTATGAATTCAATTTTTGCATAATGTGAATTTTCAATTCTTCCACTTCCGCGCTCTGAATCTTGAGATTTATGCTTAGAAGCGTGCATCACCTATTCGCTTTAGATTGAAACACCGCTTGAATCTTAATCCCGAATCTAAATTATCTCGTTTTTTTGGAGAATCCGATAAAACACATAATTTCGACTTTGGCGCCATGACTCGTGCCCTACGCCATATGCAAACCTCTTTTCTTAGCAAACCCTTCTTGAATTAAACTTCGACCTCCTCCTTCTTTTTTTTTTGGCAATTCATCCCTTTAATGTAAATGAATCTACAATAGCTTATTTATAGTGACTTGAATAAGCTTGAATCTAAGATTGAGTTATCTTGAATTTTCTTATATCCATCACCAATAATTTGCACGAAATTGAATCTCAAAGAAAACCCGCAAACGACATTCTTTCTCTTTTTGATGTGCTACAACTACGGAATAAACCCAGGATTTCCAAAAATCCAAAGGTCACACTTTGAAGCGCTTGACTGTGAGGATCTACACTTATATTACTGCAGCTGCATGAATTGGTTACCCAGAAGGAATATAAATGTTAAATCAAAGTCAAATAATAAAATGAAAATAGGTGGGATCTTACGGTCCAAAATTAGGGCGCAACAGATATGATTATCATCACTCACATAATTATTCTCAAAGGTCACATCATAATTCTCCTTGTGAATTTGAGACTCTCTTAACATGTCGGACATGATATCTGACACATCTTTTTTCCACATCTGGATTTCCCATATTGATTTCCTGGGTCTCCTCACCATAAAAATTTAGAATGAGATGATGATTTCTCATAGGTCCATTATGAGTGGGACATCAATCATATTTCTACCAGCAATTAGATCCGGCTTATCAACGTGTGGAATATTGTGGTACATATTTCTTGACATACAAGTTCTAGTTGGACTCCAATACACTAAGAGTAATACCAATTTCACCAAACACAATATCATGTTTTTGGTAAATCAAAACTCTAGGCATATGAGAAGGAATTCCAATAGTAAAAATTATGCTATAATCAATATTCTTCTTTAGCCTCTTCTTATGAACCATTGTTGCTTGTTCAATGTTAGGAGGACCTCCAGCTTAACCATTAACCTTCTCTTCAATGAAAACACTCGCTTCTTCTCATGAAGTCCATAAGTGGTAATTGTTGAAACATCTTGTAAGACATCATGATTTACTTCTCAAGTTGACAAACTTCATAGATATTTCTTTCTCCAATATTAAGTTCAGTACACATATGACAACTTTCTCTGCAAAAGTTCCAAAGCTTTCTGTACCATGGCTTAGTTTTAATTTCTAACATGTATTCCAAGATGTCTGAAACATGACCTTCAACATTCTGCTATACAGTGCCAACAATCACCATCTTCATCTTTACATATTTTTTCTCGTATGGCTATAACAAGATGTAACATTATATCTTTCTCCTATCAACTGTCTATTGCAACTACTTTCAAAATAACAATATTCACAAGTAAACACCTCGTGGGAGGAACAAACAATATGAAAAAGAATATTAGGCTTGTAAAGTTAAACTTGTTGATGATGCCTTTGAAATTTCTCATTCTAGTGAGGATGCATATGTTGATGGTGTGGTTGACTACCATACATACTTTAATAGAACATGAGAATGAAGAAGACGCAATTAATGTACTAGCAATCATATTTGACCAGATGTTGAGACATTTACCTATCATTGTGCAATCTGCTTTCTGAATAGGAGTAAAATATTTTAACTTTGATGGCTCATCAGTATGTATAACCTTTTTTAGGTCTTTGAAAGTCACAACATTGTTTGCCTGGTTAGACTCGCCTTATTCATCATTAGAGACATTGAATATTCTTCTTTGTTTCCTTAAAACACTTGAGCATTCAACTTGAATATGTCCAAAATCTTTGCAAATAAGACATTGGATCCCTTTGTATCTGAATGTGTAGTTGAAATTTTATCTTTCGCCATCCTTCTATTTATGATGAATGTTCTTGAAATTGGTAAGAAAATTATTCCCAGATATTTTGTCAAGATTTCAAAATTACTTTACTAAAAATATTGTCAAGCCTAAAATTTTCTTCGGAATTACATTCTACTTGGTCTTCACTATCTTCATAACTTCCTTTGGCTCTATTCTTTGGTTGATAAATAAAATTTGATCTATGAAATGCTCATTCTTTGTTGAAGTTCTCCATTTTGAATAGAATAAGAACCATCAACACACCCAAACATAACAGGTTGTTTGCTCGGATGCCAATTGAAATCTGATTCTCAGAAAGACATATGTTGGACCATATGTTTTGGACAACATGAACAATTGTTTTATGACAGATAATATATTTTGAAAAAAGATGTCAGACACAATGTCTGAGACATTGTATACTATAATAAAATCCAGTTTAAAATAACAAGAGAAAATAATTTAGTTTATACAAGATGATGAAACAGAAAAGCAATAAAGAGCAGAGATTAATAACCCAATTCGGTGAAATCACACCTACGCGTGGATCTATCCAAGAAAAGAAAATCACCACTTCAAGTTAGTACAGTTAGTCTTCTATGATCATTAGCCCATGAATAAAGTAGTGGAAAACTTCTCATTTATTTAGATGGCAGATGGTGGCAACTTTTACATCTCTAACCAAATGTTCCATTCCTGCACAAGGATAAGAAGAATTTATAAAAGAAAATGTCCAGTATTTAAATGAATGAGAAGTTTTCCACTACTCTGTTCAGTATCATAAAAGCAACTTCCATAAGTCGCATATCGTCTGTATATATACACACACAATATTAGTGCAAGCTTGGGTGTTGGATAGATGGGCTTAAACCAATCTAATTTATTTTAAATTTTATATTAATTTATTTTATATAAATTTCTTTAAAAAATTTGTTATAAAACTTAGCGTATTAAAATATCACGACTCATTATAACCTAACCCCCCATGTTTTGCGGAAATATAATTTCTCATTTCAGTTACCAAACAAATAGGGCAGCACCCGTGTAGCACTTTCACTTTCTGCTATCTTCCATCTTTTCAACCTTTCCACGTAACAAAATCAGTTTCAATCTCAGAACCCTTTTTCTGTTTATTTCCAATTTGTCATTCATTCTTTCCATAATATGGAAAAGAAGATCCTTGATGTCGTACTAGTCCCTACAGGTCTCGTTATAATGATCGCGTACCATTTATGGCTTCTCTACCAAATCGTTAAACATCCCACAAAAACTGTCATTGGTGTCAATTCAATCAATCGCCGTTTATGGGTTCAGGCTATGATGGAGGTACTCTCATATGGTCGCTAATTCAAATTCTTCTTCTTTAGTTTTCTTTTCTTTGTTCTCAAGTTTGGATTTTGATTCAAAAGATTTTAAAGATTATTTGGTCGATACAGATGTTGCGACAATAATTGTGGTCGTCCTGGGGTGACGTCCCAGTTTATGAATAAGATATCAATATTTATATCTGCACCTTCCTATACTATTTTGTCGAAGCTGTTTTCACATTAGGAGAACTTTTTCTTAAAACCTTGTTTGAAAGTACATATGTTACTATATATGAAATCAAATTTTAATGATATTGATTTTTGTTGTTTTGTTTTGTTAGGATGTATCCAAGAATGGAGTTTTGGCAGTGCAATCATTGAGAAACAACATAATGGCATCAACGCTTTTGGCTTCAACAGCAATTATGCTGAGTTCTCTTATTGCTGTGTTGATGAGTAGTAGAAATGGAGAAAGAGGTGTTGTAGCTGTGGTGTTTGGTGATAGGACTGAGCTAGTTTTGTCCATAAAGTTTTTCTCAATATTGGTTTGTTTCATGTTAGCATTCTTGTTGAATGTTCAATCAATAAGATACTATAGTCATGCAAGCATACTCATCAATGTTCCATTCAAGAAACTGTCGTCAAATGTTAGGCAACAGAAGCTAACAGCTGAGTATGTTGCAAACACAGTTAACCGTGGAAGCTATTTCTGGTCACTTGGTTTGCGTGCCTTTTACTTCTCTTTTCCACTTTTCATGTGGATCTTTGGGCCTATTCCTATGTTGTTTTCTTGCTTTGCACTTGTTTCGATGCTCTATTTTTTGGATGCTGCTTTTGAATGTGGTTGGGCTACTACTGGAGTTGATGATGATGATGATTTTGATGAAGGTGATGTTCACAAGCAACACTACGTTGACATTGAATTGGAAGAACCGATTAAAAATTAATCAATTTGTTAGGGATGCGGTTGCAGAATCGGTATAAATCAATATTTAATCTTAGATTTTGATAAAATGATTCTGCAGCCGTAAGATGCTTTAATTTTGTTTTATAGTTTGTAAACTAGGTAGAAATGCTAATACAAAATCTACACTCAAGTTGAATTGAATTGAATTGAATTTTAAGTCATGAAATAAGTGTGTTTTGGTTTGCAAGTTTAGTTTCTGTTGATATAATATCAATTGTAAGTGATCTCTTCTGTAGGAAGACAGTGAACAGAGAGAGACTTGTTTCTTTTCTCTTTGTTCGATTTCATTTACTTGTTTGAATGATTCATAGTATTCTACATAATGTATACACTATAAGAATATTTGCATGCAATCATTTTTGACGTTTTTGACGTACCGATTATGATGGAAGATTATGTGCCTTCTCTAAACATTAAAAAGAGCATAAATATAGAGCTCATTTATTGGAAAAGGTAAGCTACAAATGTTGAGTACGAACCTTTGGACTTCTACACTTTGAATGACCAAGTCTTTAATGTCATAAAGAAAATGAATTATTCAAACTGCTAGAAACAAAGTAATATATGGTAAATATGTGTTGTAAAATCAGTAGAGGATGTAGTATTAGTAATTGACACTAGAAGTATGTTTAGAAATATGCAAAAGACATCACTGTCAAGTTTTCCTTTAAGTAATATTTTTTTAAGGGTTGAGATTTCACAAGACATATGTGAGGATGGAACTCAAGGAAAACCTATTGTTCTTAGAAAATTGACAGAAACTTAGTAAACTCATGTATTGGTTAAAACTCCTATATTGGTTAAAAGTACATGTGTGTTTTGCTTGTAAGGGCAGGGAGAATCATAAACCTTAGTAGGTGTATAACATATATTGGTTGTGAGAGTTTGCTTACGACGGCAAGAATTTCTGTACGGCGGTGTTTTAGGCTATTTAAAGGACCCGCTCACGTGAGGTGATATACCCTACTGGTGGTCGGTTAGGTTGTTTGTCGTAACGAACGTGGTGTTCTTTTAGTTGTGGATAGGGTGTGTGATTTATAGTTTGTCTGCATTCCCTTGAGAGGAGATGTATTTATAAAGGTCTCTGGATCCTAGGGTTTTATCAGAAAGAGTCACCGCCCACTTAGTCAATAGTGGACAGTTGATCTTCTATTTCTAAGGGAGTCGCGGGTCAATTAATGACCTTGAATTTCTCTTTGCCGAAGAAAGTGTCTTATCCCCCACTTCCCACTTAGGGGCGAGGGAATATTCCAAGGTGAGGTGATACCTCCCTTTGGGTGACATTCACTCGTTGCACCTCCTAAAACGATATAAAGGCATCGTTCTAGGCGAGACTCTTTGCAATTATAACACTACATAGTCCTTCAAGCATGATGCCTTAGGTAGAAGATGAAGTATTTTTAGATCATGACTCATGGGAATATCCCGAGAGCCTGAAGTTTTTCTCTTGAGTTTTCGGCCCTCCTTAGGAAACCTGAATCTTTAATCACAATGCACGAAATGTAACTAGTTATGGTTTCCTCGAACATGAGTTTAGTGGGATTTTTTATTCCATATTCTTTAGGTGTCGTGATGTTCGGCTTAGTTGATAGGACACCAAGTCCCTAAGGCGAAGCATTCTAATTTTTGGATGGGACTCATATCGACCCCTCAAGCAATACTAGTGATCTTGTTATTGATGCAGGATATGGATCACGCCTTTTAGGCATGATCTATTAGATACAATCCTGCCATAGAAGACACTAAGTCCCTCGGGAGGAAATTTAATTAGCTTGAGTTCTTACACATAATAATGTATAACTCGGTTGATGAGATTCTAAGTCCCTTAGGCGAGGTGTTTTATCTTCTTAGGATGGACTTCTATCGAGCCCTAAAAAAAGATTGGTGATCCTGTCTATATGGTGGAATATGGGTCGTGCCTCTTAGGCGTGATCTATTGGATATGATCCCGCTCGAGGAGACACTAAGTCCCTCAGGTGAAAGTTTAGTTTGCTTGAGTTCTTAGGCATAATAATGTATAACTTGATTGCTAAGATACTAACTCCATTAGGAGAGGTGTTTTATCTTCTCAGGACGGGCTTATATCGAGTCCTCAAGTAATACTGGTGATCTTGTCTCCATGGCAGGATTTGGGTTGCGCCTCTTAGCCATGATCTATTTGATACGATCCCGCCCGAGGAAACACTAAGTCTGCCAGGCGGAAGTTTAGTTAGCCTAAGTTCTTAGGCATAATAATGTGTAACTCAGTTGATGAGATGCTAAGTCACTCAAAGAGGTGTTTTATCTTCTAAAGATGTAATTCTATCGAGCCCTCAAGCAAGACTGGTGATCCTATCTCCGGAGTGAGATATGGATCACGCATCTTAGTCGTGATCTATCGGATACAAACCTGTGCGAAGAGACACTAAGTCCATCGAGTGGATGTTTAGTTAGCATGAGTTTATATGCATAACAATGTATAATTTGGCTGGCGAGATACTAAGTTCCTAAGGCGGGGTGTTTTTTCTTTTCAAACGAGACTTCTATCAAGCCTTCAAGCAATAATGGGGATCCTACCTCCGAGGAGGGATATGGGTCGCGCCTCTTAGGTGTGATCTATTGTATATGATCCTGTTTGAGGACACACTAAGTCCCTTAGGCAGAAGTTTAGTTAGCCTAAGTTCTTAGGCATAATAATGTATAACTTGACTGATAAGATTCTAAAACCCTCAGGCGATGTTTTTTATCTTCTCAAGAGGGACTTCTATCGAGACCTCGAGCAAGACTGATAATTCTATATCTCCCGCCTCTTAGGTTTGATCTGTAGGATATGATCCCACCCAAGACGATACTAAGTCCCTCAAATAGACGTTTAGTTAGCTTGAGCTCTTAGCTATAATAATGCATAAATCGGCTGATGAGATACAAAGTCCCTCAGGTGAGGAGTTTTATCTTCTTAGGCGGGACTTCCATTGATCCCTCAAACAAGAGTGTAATCCTATCTCCGGTGCAGGATATGGATCACACCTCTTAGGCTTGATCTATTGGATACAATCTTTCATGAGGAGGCACTAAGTCTCTTAGGCAGATGTTTAGTTTGTTTGTATTATCTTGAATGATGGCAAGGACCTTCCTATGGAAGTCTAACACTTGTATTCATATTCCCTCGAGGGGCGGCAAGGACCTTCATCGAGAAGTCCATCACAAGGCGTCTCCTCGTGGGGCGGAAATGACTTTTTTTGGGAAGTCCAACACAGTGTATCGCCTCGAGGGGGCCACAACGACCTTATTTGGGAAGTCCAACATAATGTATCACCTCGTTGGACAGTAAGACCTTCGTCGAGAAGTCCAGCATAATATATCATCTTGAGGGGAGGAAATGACCTTCCTCGAGAAGTATAACATAATGTATCTCCTTGAGGATCGACAAGGACTTTCATCGAGAAGTCTAATATAATGTATCACCTTGAAGAGCATAAGGACCTTCATCGATAAGTCTAGTATAATATATAGCCTCGAAGGGCGGAAAAGACCATTGTCGAGAAGTCTAGCATAATGTATCACCTCGAGAGGCAGCAAAGACCTTCGTCTAGAAGTCTAGCATAAGAATCATTTTAGAGAGGGGATATCCTTGTTGGAAATAAAATATTTAAATAATCGTCTAGAAGTACATTGGCACTATGGATGGCAAATAAATCTGTACCCACAGATATCCGTGGATAAAATCCTTCACGAATATGAAGCGGGTAGCTTAATGGATATCCATGGATATATAAATTCTCGTTTGTTAATGGATATGGATATGAGTTTAATGATATTCATACCCACAGATATTCATATTCGTTTATATATTATAAAAATTATTTAAATATCTGACCGGTAAATTAGCAAGTTTACTAACTTTTATCGATGTAGTAATAATTGGGGTTTCCCCAGTATCGATCTCTGAGGACTGCGTGTAAAATTTCAGGTGCAAATGTTATTTCAATCAAAAAAAATAACCTAGGGGTTTTGTTTGGGGTTTTTAACAGGAAAAAACATAATGATAAAATTACTTTAACGATTAAGAGAAAATATGCTAGGGGAAAGTGTATGAATTGCTTAGTACGAACCCTGGAGTATATCAATGAGACATGTCTCAGAACCTTAATTTTTATTGAACCTCAAAAGTGTTTTGCTTAAATTCCTTAACTGAAAAACCTTTGATATTCTTCCTTGGCCCTAATTCCTTAGCAGTCAAGGAAAGACATCAAGCAATAGTTCTGACAAAGGTTTCTTACAATCATTACAGGATATCCCTGTTCCTAGTAAATATTTACTATAATGTGTTATACAAAATAATCGATCGGTTTTTTTAGGCCAAATCCCTAATCGTAAATCGTTCCAATTTGTACGATATTTAAAAGTTTAAACGATTTTCATAACAAAAATATTAAGGAAAGAAACAAAATCTCATTAAGAAATGTAACAGAGGTTCATTACAACACAATTCAGGGACACCCCCTAGCAATGGGGGGTTTAGCTATTCATAGTATTCAACAAAAACAACAGAGAAACTAGAAACATTACAAGACTTGGGGAATAAAGTTGATCTTCAATTTCTTCCGATCATGAAAATCTCCTCGTCTTCCCAATTCTCTAGAGCTTCCCACTTTCAATTATAATTTCTTTGTACCATCAAAAAGTCCCCTTCCTCACTCAGAAATCACGCCTTAATAGTATCCGATAAATCTTTTCCATGCAAAAAGTCCAAATTGCCCTTCAGGCAGTCACACTGGCCAAACTTCAAAAACACCAGAGATATGGTCGCCTCACCCAACACGGGCCATGTCAGCTGACACGGGCACCCGTGTTGGCCCACAAAGAGGAATCTTCAAATTTTAACCTTCAGCATGCTGACACGGGTCGTGTCAGCCCCCTGGTTGCTCTTTTTCTTGTACTTCTCTTCCCATCCTAACACGTGCCGTGTCAGGTGACACAGGCACCTGTGTCAGGCCTCTG